TCTCTCTCTCTCTCTCTCTCTCTCTCTCTCTCTCTCTCTCTGTGCGTGTGTCCTGTCCATTAGTTGCAAGCTGCAGGAGAATGTTGTTTACAGTTTCATGTAATAGTTGTACCGCATGAAAAAATATCATCTGGGGGTGCGGGGTGGTGGGATGATGACTCCCTAGATCCACTCTCCTCTTGTTCATTGGCTGAAAATTGAAATTCAGCGCTGCACACAAACGGTATCTCGGGATTCAGGATGAGGAGGCGAGATAAAATCAAACCTGATACACCCCCCCGTGCCCTCTCTGGTTGATTGTCCGATGAATCTCGTTTGCATGTCGAACCGCAACATAAGGGCGTCACGAAGAGAAACAATGTGAAGTCTCACCGCACATTATCAAGTAATTCTCAACCTCCTTCTGCTCTCTTCCCCTTCTTGCCTCTCGCTCTCTCTTTGATTGGTTGATGAATGTTGTTTGCATGTCGAACGGGAACATAATGGCGTCACGACGATGGCGTCACGACGAGAAACAAGATGACATCTCACCGCACATTATCAAGTAATTCTCAAGCTGCTCTGGCTCTTGCCCCTCTTACCCCCCCCCCCCCCCCCCCCCCCCCCCCCCCCCCCCCCCCCCCNTGAGGAGGAGACACTGGACATGGAAGGGTTCGGGGGGTTCAAGAAGAAAGTCAAGGAGATGCTAGAAAGTAGGGAAGAGGCATCCCTTCGGAAGAAGGTACGAAGCGAAGACCACTTGGAGATATACGGGGAGTTGAAAGAAGGGATAGGGATGAAGAGTTACTTGGACGGCCCCATGGACTACGCAAAAAAACTGAAGTTGCAATTTCGAGTAGGCGATCTGGACTTGCCAGAACGGAGGAAGAGGTACAGCAGCCGTAGGAGAGAGGAAGAGGAGGATAGACAGACATGTCCATGTGGCAAATCGGAGGAGAGTAGACCCCACATAGTTGGGGAGTGTGAGCTGTACAGGAAGGAAAGAGAGGATCTCGAGGAGGACATGAGACAGAGAGGGTGTGACATGGACAAGTTT